CGCGAACAGCCAGAGGAAGATCCAATGCTGGCTGAGGGCACAATCGTTTGGGAGGAGCTTGGCTTCGACGTCACCCTTCGTCCACCAAATGGCCATTTGTCTGACTGCATGGCTTTGTGAACTCTAGTCAAATGTGATTGTGCATCCGTGGCGGATTTGCTTTGATGGTCACAATATGGGCAGGGGTCGGCCTCCTCTGTTTCAGATGGGCCGGTGATTTGCTCACGCTTCTGATGTCTTGACGCATACGACCATGTAGTTGTTCAATGCCTGCCTTGCCAAGTCCTGTGCATTGCAATGCATGACTGTAGCTCGAGCGAATGCACGTCTTCCACAATTTTGCTTTGTTGACGTGACTGAACCCATGATGACCTTGGAACCAATATCTAAGTCTGCCATATGCTGCTCGTCCAATATGAAGGCAAAAAATGACAGTCGCGCTCCAAGGTATGTGTGGCAGGCAGGGTACGACGTGGACATATTGTACATGATCTTTACGAGGAACCTCCAACCATTTGCTACTACGAAACCAGTGAACATGTCTCTTCAAGATTTGTTTGGCCTTGAGCCCCGGCAGTCTGAGGAGGACCACTGTTTTTTCGGTGGAGATTTCCATCCCCATGGTGACAAGAAGGTCCAAAAGATGTCCAATCAACCGCAGTGCATCTTTGAGGGCAATGTCGATTTTCCACCTCAACAACAGGTCGTCTGCGTAAGTGCGCAGGCGCTGCAGCATCCACAGCCGTACAAGCTCAGGGTCGCCTGACAGGAATTGAGAACCGAATTCAGTCATGAGGTGCATCAGAAAAGAGGCCCATTGCAATGGGGAAGCTTTGCACCCTTGCCTTACACCACATGTCGTGGTGATGGCGTGTTTCCTTGATGATGAACATGGTACTGAGCCTGATCCAACCAGTGCAGGAAAAGTTCAATGATCTTGTCTGGACAGTGGCAGAGTTGAAGGCCTTTGCGTAAAGCTGTTCTTGAAAGTCTGTCAAAGGCCTCACGAAATTCAAGGGAAAAGAGAAGTCCTCCGCATAGTCCAGGACGTTGTTGACCTGCAAGAGATGCCCATGGGCCAGGCGTTGCGAACATCACGAATGGTGGCGCAAAAGTCAAAAGCAATGTGTAGGGCCTCTTGGACTCCCCTGTTTGGTAGGTAGGCCAGAATGGGCCACCTGCGTAAGGTGGAGAGCATCTGTGGTCTTGCTTTGGTGACGAGTGCCCCAAGGCCTTCCCAAGCCCACGGGTCAGTGCAATGGGTCGTAGGTCTGCCGGTGATTGTACTGAGCGCTTGGCCAAAAGGGCCAGGTGGGAATCTGGGGTTGTTGAGCCCATTGTGCATGGAGAAGGGGAACAATCCAAGCAGCAAGTGGACGTGGCAATGCCTTCAAGATGACTGATGGCAGCGTGTTGGGAGCCACCGCCTTGAATGCTTGAAGTTTTTGTAGTTGATGTCCTACATCGCGAACTGAGTGTGTTGCGAAATCTGATCATCCGTCTGTCTGTTTGGGAGCCAGAGCGCGGATGGCCTCGTAGAGGCCCCTGGAGTCGTGCCGTCGAGCAGCCGCTGTGGCCTGTTGTGTGGCTGAGAGAAGTTTCTCTTTCGTCTTATTTTGACATGTTCGTCGAAGCTCACGACTGAGTTTTTGGTGTTGTACAAGGTGGTACCAAGCCTGCAGGAGAGAATCCGGTTGCGCTGAGTAGAAGAGGTGTCTCCATTTCCTGGCAACCATGGATCTTGATGCGTGCTGAGTCCACAAAGGTGAGAAAAAGTCTTTCGACAAAGGTGAAGTATGCGTGGAATGGGAGCCTCAACATCCAGTGTGCAGGAGTTGGTGAGGATCTGGGCGGCCTTCTGTTCAAAGGTGTACCAGGAGTCATTGTGGTCTTGATAGGCCTGCCAAGTATGTGTGATGGTTTGCCGTGAAATTATTTCTTCGCCACTTTGATGTTGGAAGTACCAAACTCTCCAGCTCAATGGGATGGAACACACCAGTGGGAAATGATCTGGATATGTACGTCCCTGTATCAACGGAAACCAGGTGAGGCAGAAGGCCTATTGGGCCTCCTGATCAGCCTGTGGACGGCGCGTCAGAATGTAGTCGATATGGGAGGATCCGGCCGGTCCCACAAAGGATGGTGTGCGATCATGTTGCCTCAAGGAGCAAAGTGGTATCAAATCTGCAAACTCTGCTGTATTGGCGGTGGAGGAGGTCGATTCTAAAGTTGAATTGAAGTCTCCAGCTATGACTAGCGACTAGCGTATTGCGAAATGGTATGCGGTGGATGACTTGGTCAAGCTCCTGCCAAAACTGATTCCTGTGTTTAGATGGGCTCTTTCCCTGGTGACATTGGTGGTGTACTGGTAGCAATTGAGCACGTCTAAGTTACCCTTCTCCAAGTGGCAGCGTAGATGCTGCACACCTTTCTGTCCTGAGGAATCTGCAGAAGGAAAGGCAGCAAATCCAAAGGTCTCCCATGGTTGCTGAAGAGACAAAGCCGTACCTTGCAAAAGAACGATGTCAAATGGTTGGATATATATCCAGCTCAACAGTTCTATCTATGCAGCGCTATTCAAGGATTGGCAGTTCCAACTAAATATAGTGGCCCTTCTCCCTGATCTTTTCCTCGTTTTGCTCATCTTCTGCTCTGTCAATGGCTTGCGAGTACTGAATGGTGAGAGCTCTGAGAGGGAGGTTCTGAGCTTCCCCTTGTAAATCACGAAGCCATGTGTGGCAAGGCGTTGTAGAGCTCGCTTGAAGCTCCGTTTGGTAGCTGGTCTGGTTGCCCCGAGGGGCGCTACTGGGTGCCCTATCCCAAGTTCTTCGGGTTATGATTGGGTGGTTTTCTTCCTTTTCCAACCCCTTTCGAGCGCACCCTGGAATGCGCCCTACCCTCACGTTCAGTTCCCCAAAACGGCATTTGAACTAGGTCAAGCGGCTGGAAACTGCCGGAAGTGGGACGGGGCAGCGCAAAGTCTCGAGTGGATCCTGAAGCTACAGTAGCCCTTGGGCTAGGGTGCGTGTAGATGAAGAAAGCAGGGAGGGGCCACTGTGTCACCAGCAATGCCAGCAGCTGGAGCCGGGACTCCCAACAAGGAACTGTCACCCGCGAAATGCACATGAGACGGCGTTTTCGATTTGTCCGCCGCAACCCTCTGCGGAGATCGTGCGTGTCGAGTACGCGCGCGTTTTGGATTTGTCGCGGGCAAGCCTCTGCGGAGATCGTGCGCGTCGAGGGCGCAAAATGCAGGTGAGATTGCGTTTTGGCCCGGTCGCGCGCAACCCTGTGGAGATCGTGGGGATACCTATCAAAAAGAAAATTGATTCCTATCAAATTGAAACTGATTCCTATCTAAAAAACATTAATTCGTATCAAAAAGAAAATTCCGTCCTGCTCTGCTGGTTCCCTGGTCGCTTGGTCCTTGGGTCCCTTTGTCCTGGTCCCTTGGTTCCCTGGTCCCTTGGTCCTCTGGAAGCCTTCCAGTGCTCAGATCTCGTCCTTACCGACTACGTCTCCTTGCCATGGCGTAATGGCCCGCGCTCGACACGCACGATCTCCGCAGAGGGTTGCGTTTCGTGGTGCCCCTGCGGCACCGCCCCCGCCTTAAGAGAGAAAGAAAAGCAGAGCGAGAGGTGAAGATGTGAGATGTGCTGAGCAGAGATGTGGATGCGCAGAGGTGAAGATGTGAACGTGTAGATGAGACGTAGTTCTGTACAGATGTGAAGATGAGCAGAGATGTAGATGTGCAAATGTAGAAGATGTAGATGAGACGTAGTTCTACAGATGTTTTTTTGCGAAGAACCCTTCGCAAACGCTCTTGGGAAAAAGATCAGAAGTTCGAAGATTCAGTGAACTGTTCCCGTATACTCAGCAGTTGTGAGGTCAGTTGATGCTTGCAAGCGGGCTGACCAGTAAGCGGCTCTCGATGCGTGCACTCTGGTGAGAAAGGTTCAGTCATGAATTCTGCGCCCCAGTCGGGGATCACACTGCACACCCAAGTGGGAAGATGCAGCTGGTCACACTTAGACTCATAGCTCAAATGAATGAGCATAAAGTTCAGTTACTGGATTGCCGCTGCATTAGACGCTTACTGCACTAGCCGCTTACTGCACAACAAAGAAGGAGACAGCTTTGCTTTTGCTTTTTTTTGCGTAGGTTCATCTCAAAGCAGGTACGTAGCTCCAGCGTCCCGAAGCTATATCACAGACCAGTGCAAGTGTCTTTGTTAGTGCCAGACTTGCACGGCCCCTGGCACGCCCTGCTAATTGCATCAACCAAGAAAGTGAAGTACGTACTCCTAGAGACGGAGTTGGACACACACACACACACACATACACATGAGTGAGGTTTATGGAGATGCGGACATCTCCGCAGGTTGGCTGCAAGGAGCTGCAATGAGCGACAAAAGCAACGTGTCATAAGGCGTCTGAGTCTGAGTTTCTTTTTGCTCCTCGTCCTCTGCGTCCTTTGTACCGAGGTGATATCTCAGCCTTAGGATGCAAGTGCATCAAGATGCCTTGCTTGGTGCATACGGGCTAAGCTGACTGTGACAGGTGCATGCTCCACAAGTCATTTACGTGAAAGTCCCCTTTCAAGTGCTTTGAATCTTTTGCAACCAATTATATATATATATATATCTATATAATTATGAACACACACACACACACATCTTGGATGTGAATTTGCTTGGCTGCTCTTGGCGCAGTTTGGGGGCTTTGTTCCCTGTTCCCGGGAAGGGGTTGTCAGTGGGTGTTCTTCGTTCCTTTTGTAGACATTCTTCTTGCCTGAGGGCAGTGTTCCTCCACTTTCGCAACCAGCTCCAGCTGGAGCAACACAAAACATGCGAGGATAGGAAAGGTCTCACGCTGGAAAGAATGGAGGCACTTGGTGCCAAAGTGATCTAATCCGGGGGGTATTGAACCTGCTTAGTTTTCTCGATATCGGAAGATGAAAGCACAAACCGCCAGCAGCTCTCGGCGGCTAGCTAGATCAATTCAGCTTTCAGTCAGACCCATTGGGCCCATGGACATTCCATTGGTTCGCATGAATTTTCCTTTGATGCTGAGGTCCAGCAGGCCAACACTGATTTCAGCTAGGCGAGCCCATGGCACCTGCCAGGATGGAGCGAGGAAGAAGCAATTGAGGCGGAAATTGTGGTGCTGGTGCTAGCGTGAAGGAAAGCATGAATCATGAACCCAAATCCAATCTTTGCAAGGATGCAAGATGCTCGTACATGACCATTGTAGAGACATAGTTGCATACAAACGCAAGCTAGTAAACAAATACCTGCTATGGGGCTCGGAAGGGCTCATCGTCTCAACATACACAGGCCTGAAACAAACAGATCAAAAGATTGTCGAACATTATCCCCAAAAGCATCTCATGGAACTGGCTGCGCTGTTTTGAGTGATTGAGAACACCTACTGGTGCAAAAGGATTGCTTGTCAAAGAGAGAGTGGATGGTTAAACGTAGAATTGTAAGAACAGCCGAATGATTTGACACAAGGTCGCCTCAAGTAGAAAAGAATACTGATGCAAAGCAAAAACGCCGCAATGTCCTTACTCACTTAATTTGCCCAATCTTCCCTGCCTCGTTCATGGCAAAGCGTGAGAATATATATATATATATACAGTTCTTTATCGATCTTTTTGATGATGCCAGAGTGAAATAAAACATGCCTCGCGCGACTTTCAAGCAGGAGGGCAGAGATACGCGACCCTGCATTCCCTGATTCGCCATTCCTGATAACAGGCTGAACTTCCCGCCCAAGGAGCCTGTTTCCTGACAAAGGCCCGAATTTGAGCCTCAGCATTCACGGATAACTGATGTGATATGTGATATGTTGAAGCCAAGCATGAAAACCCAAAAATGAATCCATGAGCTAGGCGCAAAAACAAAGGCGAAGCAAAATAATATATAAACCATAGAGAACCAGGAAAATTGACACAATTGAACAAGGGAACCGAATTAGCTTGAACACGGAGACAAAATCATCTTTATTGGTTTTATGTTGAAGTAAACCTTTGCTGGTATCTTGGACCTCATGGCGTCAGCTTCAACTTCCGCTGCTTTAAACTTTTTACAACCTTTTGAGTGCCCTGTGTCCCTGTGTCACCCCGTTTTTCTTTTTTGCAGCGCTTTGAACAGCACATCGTCCACTTCCGCTGTATTTGCAGCACTCTGGGCATCCTGTTGTCACCTTTGGCTACTATGCACAGCTATGTACCGCTCTTTGAGAAATATGGTAGTAAGGGATGAAACAAAAACTAAGCAAAACATAGCAAAACCTTTTGACAGGGTTGGGTTGCACACTGTGTGTTTAAACATGCAAAGGAGTGCTGCTTATGCAAAGATTGAAATTTCATGGCGTGGGACGGGGTTCGGAGAGGGTGCAGCGAATCACACCAAAAGCGTGCAATTGATGGGCACCGGCTTAGTTCTTGCTTGCGTCCTTGCTTTCTTCCTTCCTCGCTTGATACTTCTAGCTTGTAAGCTTGCTCCCTTGCTCTCTTCCAACGTTCTTTCGCTCCTTCCTTCCTTTTCTTCAGAGACGAAACTGTCTCCCCATCACACTGTCTGTGGGAACAAAACACATCAAACAACTAGGTTAATAATACAATTCGTCAAACTATGTCAAACTCACATTTCCACCTGCAGCATCCTGCAGCCAGTTTGCATCAGTTCACCCACTCTCTGTGCGCACCGCATCTGAGGGAAGCGCCAAATTGTCCTCGGTTGTTGTGCCAAGGCCTTCCTGGAAGCAAGGAACTTTGTTGCAAGCAAGAACCCTCTTGACCCAGGACTTGCAGACCCCAGCAGCCACCAATAGTGACAAAAAACAGTCCTGTCCGGGGAGGCATTTGACCTAATCGCAAGTGAACTTAGCGGCAAGTTCAGTGAAGTCTGTGATGGAGGTGCAAGAAACGAAACACAAAACTAGCAATCAAGCAATCAGGCGAGCTAAACACCAATTAAAGGACCAGATAGCCTCACATGCGAAGTTTTCATGTTTACAGCAAGTGGAGGCACAAGGGCTAGGACAAAGAATGGTGGCAAATGAGTGCATGCGGATGATGAGAAGAGATGCGAAGTAGGATGGTGAACAGCGGTGAACATATATTGTCGTGAGTGAGAGTGAGTGTCAGTGTGAGTGTGAGCATGGGACTGAGTGCGAGCGTGAGTGCGAGAGTGAGTGAATGGTTGTGCGGGGTGGAGGGGTGGACTTGAGTGAGGGGGTAGTAGGGTGAGGCGGGTGAAAGAACTGTGCAGTGGAGCGCGGATTAGCAGTGTCGCTGCACTTGTGTCGAGGGAGTGTGCTATTCAGTCCGAGGACAAGGCCGACACAACAGCAGTCAACAAATTAAAAGCACACTGCATACACAAAGAGCCGTGTCGCTATTCATGTTCCTTTGAAAGTAGAGCCCAGCAGAAATACAGCAGAACTACTATACAAACAATGACCACCAGGCCAAAAGAAAAATGAGCAATCTCAAGAACACATGCAGGAAGCTGAGGAATAACACCGGCAGAATTGACTGCACATAATCACAATGGACACGCACTCTCTCAATAATGAGTTTTCATGATCGTCTCCTTCGAAAAAAGTTCATCAAAGGAAGGTTCACATGTGCAAGATCAATGAGTCTCTGTGACCATCTCCTTTGAACAAATAATCAGAGGAAGACCCACACGCGCGAGAAACAATCATTACTGATGAACTGCACAAGTCTTGCAAGCCAAGGAATTTCAACAGATTGAGCATCGAGTAAAAGAGTAGCTCTTGTGACCAAAAGTTTCGCTTCAAGCCTTGAGCTCTCGTTGGAAGCCACTTCGGTGTGGAACCCAGGTATGGCCTTCATCGGTATGGAGCTGTCTGCAGCGCTGCGTGAGTTGCTTCTTGTACGGCTCGGTGTTGTGGCCAGGAACGGGCTAAATCTTGCTTGCGGTTGATGTAGTGGTGTGTCCGGATAGATGGCTTCAAGAGGTTTGGCAGCATGCAAGTAGATCTGCTGAGGATCTTCATCCAAAGTTTGTTGTCATTCATGTTTCTTGGCATCAAAAAGCTCTGACGTCTGACGCCCCGCATATGCTGGTGGAAAGATTTGCATCCCTTGCGCTTCATGACCTTTGGACTTGGGGGCAAGGAGACCTCCATGTTGTCTGAGCTCAGTCCAGGCCGTCCATGCCGCCAGCGAGTGTGTGAAAGAGTGAGTGGGGGAGTGAGTGCGTGGGTGCATGGGTGAGTGAGTGCGCCTCAAATTGCCGGCCCATGACCCTCTTGCAAACTTTCAAACTGAGGGCCTGGCAGAAAGACTGTAGCCTGCGCCATATTTCCCCTGCAAAAAGCTGACAGTAAAAATCTCAGCATATGCCTTGCAAGGACGCTCCTAGTAGCTCTCCTGGCCGTACTAGTAACAAGAAAGTACTAGCAAAGGGCATCGCTACTAGAAGCAAGGACAATTCTGTGCAACTCGCAAGGTGGGTCCTTCAACTCGACTGGACTCCCCAAGCATCGGAATTGTCCACTCACCTGTCACGATACAAATGCCGTGGATGGGCGTGCACTTGTGCTACCTCAATACTTGCCCTTGCACCACAAGTTTCACATTGGACAGGTTCCGGCTTGTTCAATAGTGAGTCCGGGCACCGGGCACTGGATGTCAATTATTGAGGTATTACTGCGTAATGCCTAATGGATGGCTTCGCATGCCGTTGTAGGAAAGCATGTCCCGCAACAAGTGCAAGCAGGCCGCGCCCCAGCCCCACAGGATTTGAAACGCGCTTTGCAGCGGCATCAAATTAACAATTTGCAAGAGACACGACGCAATTTGTGCAGTCTAGGGCAGCGCGACACGGGATGGATGGCAAGCAAGAATGGTGTTCAAAGCAAAATACTGAAGCCCTTGAGTGTGGCGGGCCGTTGCTGTGGTCAACAGGTGAACCCTTGCTGGCCAGTCAGCTCTTGTTACACGTGCATATGTAGCATATTTGTTGGCAAAGGAAGTGTGGCTGCTTGAATGAGAAACTCTTAGGCCACAAAACGCGCCACTATAACAAACATGGGATCATCAACTCCGCCTGAGAGCTTGCAATCGATACTTTGTGCCTGGAGGCCATACATTTCTGTTTTGCTCATCTCACAATCATTTTTGCATGACGCCAAGAATTCACCGCTGAGCGAAACTTTCCATCGACTTTTAGTGTGGCCGGTGGTCCCGCAGGATTCTGACCGGGACTTCACCTCATTGGTGGAACTTCCGGCTGATTCTTGTTTTCTGGCACGAACCTTCCTGTTAAAGCAGCCAAGCATGGTTCTACCGTATCCTGACATCGACCCTGGAGTTTGGCAACGAATGGGACCCCAAATGCGAACTTGGAGTGTTTTTTTGAGGCTTATAGGCTACATGGGCGGCTAAGCGGCCGCATCCATCGATCCAACGGACGGAAGCGAAACATGCCTTGTACTCTTTCTTCCCCTATCGATCCCTTTCATTTCAAGCACTTCGCACCCTCTGTGTGCCCCTCTGCCCGCATGCTTCGTTTGTGCCGGTGTACACTAGCTGACATGAAAGCAAAAACAAAGCGCCCTAGCTTGATGTGGGTTCAATCAAATGGAGGCATGGTGCTGCTAACGTGACAGTAGCAGTAGCTTTCTTCAACACTTCAATCTTCAAACACAGCAAAATCCGCAGAATCTTGTCAGTCGCCACCATGACAGTCAACCGAGAGCACAGAACTTCGCACTCCTTTTGCTTTGCAGCTTCGAATCACTGAATCTTCTGCTGGGGTGAAGAACATTGAAACGACCAGCCTCGTCTTTCTTCACAAAGGGTGTATTATTATGCATGTATATATATAATCTATTCCTCCATATTCTTCCCAACTTCAAATCCACCTCTGACAGAAGTGTGTCCTCCATAGAGTGACTAGTCAGCACAACGGCATGGCCACTGCGTCGAATGTCCCCGATGACCTGTCATTCAATGACCGAGAAACTGTGAATGCAGTCATCCAGTCATCCAAAGGTTTGATGGCAGCAACCAACAGTCTTCCACCGAATCTTCAAAAACCCAATTCATTCAACTTCAGGCCTTGATCTGGACAAAAATCCTACTGAAGGGACTTTAAACTCCATTCCCACATTCCTCTTTGGTGTTGATAAACTGCTCACGCCAATGCATTGTTTGATCCCTGCTCTTTTTCTGTGCTTGCACCTCCCACAAGAAACGCCGCGCTCCAACCTGCAAGAACTTGCTTGGTTTCTGTGTAGGTACATTTCCACTGATTGGCAAAACCTTCAAGAAACCACCTGCGCAAACAGGAGCGCCAAACAAAAAACCGGCAATTGCTGCCTGACACTTAAGTTTAACTGCAACTCTACCGTGCAAAAAAAGCAGCGGCGGGAGCACGTCAACACCGGTGGACGGTTCATCCAGCAAGATCACGTCAGGCTCTCCAAGCAAAGCCAACGCCTTGACACTAGATACTGCGCAGTTCTTCACGTGAACTGGAACTTTATCATTGGCAAGCTAAGTTTCCTGCCGTGGAAAGTTTCCTCTTGTTACCCCCAGAAAGATGCTCACACAACTGCTTTTCATGGGCCTCTGCAAGGCCAGCGTCTGGTTGACTCAAAGGTTTCTCAAGCGCTGTCAATAACTTGTGGGAATCTTCAAAAATTGAAATTTCCCCACACAACTGTAATGCGGCAGGTCGCTTCCAAACACATCCGGGCAATCATCGTGTCAGCCGCTTTCACAACTTCCCCTCTTGGAATTCCACCTCAGTGCACTCTACCCTTCAAAGTTCCTGCTTGCCACCCGAGACTGATGGAACAAAAATCTGATTCACAACACACGCGTCTTCTATAGCCCTGAACATAGTATGCATTCGCTTCGACTGATGCTTCGTGGCACAGGCAACACAAAAGCTTGTAAACCCTGCGCGCCGTACTGCGTACACATTCCAGCTGGTGACCGACTTAAAAACCACTCACTTCGAAACCGTTCTTTGCGGCACTTTCCACACGCACCCGAACCGGCTCAGTGGTGGAAGGCGGAAGGACAAAGGGGAAGCGCTTTGCCGGATCATCTATTCTTCCTCGCTATTCACATGCGGGCCTAAGCCAAACAAAGGTCATCAGGGTGCCTGTCTCCTATGAACCACGGCCTTCGTCATCTCAACTTCAACATCAACTCCTCGCTGCGAGTCCAAAAACTCATCAAACGCACCCTACACATTTTGTTGAACAGGGGCTAGAGATTTGCAGACTTGCATAGCAAACCCTTGCATAGCAAACCGACCGTCTCGCTTAACTCGGCCAGCCTGGCTATTGATGTAGGTTACAGAGAGTGGAGGGCAAGGGTGTGTGACGAAAGCTAGCAGCTAGCAGGGCAGGGGTGAGCGCGCAAATGCACACGTCCCAGAGACGCCCCAGGGAGGAGTTGAACCCACGGAGGGGGGCGGCTTTGTACGCGTGAAGTTTTCATGCGATGTTGCGCTCTCGAGGATTCTGCCCCCTCACTTGCTAAAGCAAGGACAACTCCAGCCAGCTGGCGCTAGCTTTCGCGACTTGCGCTTTGGCGCCCGCTTTGGCCAAGGCCGCCAGAAAGTCAGAAGGAACGCTCCCAGTGATTACGCACTCTCGAGGCGAGCGGCCGCGCAAAGCTTCCGCGAGTTTCTCTGGCAGTCTGCCAAGGCCTGCCCTCGCGCCCTCCACTGATTTAACCACCTCATTGGCGCCAATACCTCAGAGCAAGTCTTGGGCGCAAGAGGGGTTGCTCCTGGCTCTTAGTCTCTCAACACGCAAGCGACGGGGTCTTCGAGTTTGAGACATGCAGCAACGTGTGACGGGCCAACTGGGCCGAAGATAGCCCGTCTGTCTTTTTGTTGGCAAACCATTCATAGACCTCCCTGTCAGCACCTCTTAAGCTGACCCGACCAGAGGCTCGGCCTAAAGGCGCTCCTTTTTCAACCTTGAGGGTGCGGAGGCTATGGAGGCGATGTTAATGGGAATTTCAGGAGCATTCCCAAACTTGCATTTATGCAGTTGCCTGCCACGCGGGTCAGGACCCTAGCCTGCGGCCCCAAACGTACCCTCTTTGCCATGCGCGAGCTGATGTGAACGTGGCGACGGGGGTGCTGACGACTCACTGTTCTCCTCCACCATCGTCCTTGCCCTGCCGCGAGGCTGGAGAACAACTTGCAAAAGCATCAGGCCCTTCTTCGGCCCTTCAGCGGGATGATCTTGCAATGAGGTGAGCAGCTTGATCTTGGCCATTGAGGGAAGTTGGGCGTGATGTGGAAGTGGGGCTCGATGTGCTTCGGCCTGTAAATGCCCAGCGCTCTCGCTAACCACTTGTTTGCCCAGTGTGATGGCCTGAGCCCGAAGATACTCTGACTGGCACCGTGAGGCTGCCACTGAGTGAGGTGAGTCGCGACTCTACTATCCCCGTGAGCCAGCCGCGTGGGGTGTGGTCCACTGGAGAGCCCCATGGTCCTCCCCCTGCAGCCCGGCGGGACGCTCCGCTCCACTTAGCCGAAACTCTGCAACGTCATGACTCATGCACATACTATCTGCTTACAGCAGTATTCAAACTGTTTGCACACTGTTCATATTCAGCGTTTCCTCCAAGAAAGGTTTAATGTAGTCTAGTCTAGTCTAGTCCACTGGTGAAGCATAACCAGCTCAAGGTTGTACCTTTCAAAGTTCCTGGTGGCAACTGCAAAGAACTGCCAAGCACCAAGCGAATTCTTGCGAAAAGCTGGATGGTCTCGCGTACTGTGAGCTTGTCTGGGATGGCCTAAAGCAACACGAAAATGCAGTGAATCAACATCTCAACTGTGTGCACCCTGCAAGACTTTCTGCTTCGCACTCAGGCTGCCAGCGTCAAACTGTGGGCAGTAACCCAATCGTTGCCGGGCCACGTCTCGCTGAGCCTGTTGAACATAGCCGAAAGCACATTGAAACATTGGAAGTTAAACAGCACTTGTTCATATTTTCAATCATTTCTTCGAACAAACCCACTTTGGTAGCGTATGGTAGCGTCATGCTCCGCGCAAAGGCTCACGTTAGCCTCACGTTGTGGTCAACCGGCCTGGACGCTGGCACCACCCACAAATATGTCACCCTTTGTTGCCTCAGTATCTCCTGCAATCAATGACTCTTTGCAGTCACGACATCAGGGTGCTTACTTACCAGGACTTGCAGCCCGAAAAAGTGCTAATCAATGAGCAACATGCCTGTAATCATTCGCATGGTCGTCGTCTTGCCCGCACCATTCACACCCAGAAGCCTAACGTGGCAGGGTATGTCATGCAAAACAGCTTATACGTTCAAGTCTGCAAGTCTGAATTCTCCCCGAAAGACCTCTTCCATGAAAAAACAGAACAGCTAGCGCTGGGTTCTGCTAGCCGCAACATGGAAAGCTAGGTCTGCATACAAAATGCATCGTCGCAACCCTTGAAGCTTGTGTTTCGCATAAAGTCAAACAAAACACATCAAAACTGAAGCATCAAACCAAAGCGGCGGAGACCCTCTGTACCATGGGGACTAGTTCTGAATCAAAGCTGAGTGCCGGGATTGACCCCCAATCCTTTGATGCGACTGCTGTGCAACAAAGAGCTTAAAGTAAAGAGAGAACTAGCAAAAGAACAATAAATATACAATAAAGTATATAATCTGAATCTGATCTAATTTGACCGACTCTGGAGAAGTAGCGAAGATTGAGAACAAGCCGCTCTGCCCCAGCTGCGACACCAAATCAAGCAATGACGATGGACACTAGAAACGTCCACTAGACATGATAATTTGTGAGCACTTTTCCAGCGTTGCAAGGTAGGCAGCCCCTAACAAATATGCGTGGCTGCATTGCATGGCAGAATCACATCGCAGCAGTGTCGTTCTTGATGAGTGAAAGGGCGTTGGATGACAAAGCACGGTGCCATATGGGCATGCAGAAGCGTCAGGTATAGCTACGAAGGTTCAAAGTAGTTGCTTCACACATGTCCTTGAGAAACTTGCTTGCATTTTGACGTTTTCTTATGTATTCTTGGGTCAAGCCTCCACTTTTCTCCTCCATGATTGATTTTCGTTATTTTATTCGTTTCTTGTCTCTCAGCTGAGTTGCTGCCTGCCACTTCCAACCACTTCCCCCCGCTTTGCGTAAACGAGCGGATTCAATCTTTATACAGTACAACAAATGTTCAACCACATTCCGATTCCTCCCTGATACTGGGCGTTGGCCTATTGGAATTGTTGCTTCATGATTCCGGATGTTCCACACTTACCAGAGAGCAACCAGTCTACAAAAAGAAGAAAGGCCATATTGACCAGTTTATCCGACGTCCAGAGTCCAGAATACATCCACTTTATTGAACCTTATTGGGACGCTGCAGTTTATCGGTGCTATCAACGATTTCCTGGCCATTGTCACTGTCACTGATCCAGCAGCTTGAAACCAACAATCTTGCGGCATCGTGTGGCACAACCAGTTCAGGCCGCGACCCAAAGCACTCACCTGCAGGAACACCTTGGCTAGCTTGTGACGGCGTTGAACTTGAATCAGCTTGACATGTGGGCGTTGTAGGTGACAAGATTTTGTACCTGGCCATATAGCCATAGCTCATTCAATAGGCCGTATTGAAAAAACTATGAAATTGTTGGCAACCGAAAACAACCCGGCGGCCCAAAAACAGTCAGCATCAAGTTCGACGACAAAAACACAGGGTTCGGAAACTGGAAAAATTGCACGCGGAACTCGGAGCCTGGGGTTTGGACGGATGAAACTGGAAGGTGGGTTTGGCAACAGGACATGTGAGGTTCGGAAAAGGGAAACGTAGGTTTCGGATGGCTTCGGAAACTCAAACTGTTTGATTTGGACACTAGTAGCAATGTGCTCGTCATACGTACATCTTCACGCTGTGCTTGAACGATTTTAAACGGTTGCTCACAGCAGCGCCCCACACCCTCTGCAACTAGCTAAACCAACCGCTTCACCCGAAGACAAGGAAGAAACGCAATTCAAAACCCGGTGTATCTATGTATAGAACACGCTCAACCAAACTAGTTGCCGAACGCTACAAAACCAATTTGGTCCAATTTATCATAGTTTCTAAAAAACAGGTGGTTCTAGTTTCTGAGACCTCATTTCTGAACCCGGCGGGCTAGTTTCTGAACTTTGCTTTGTTCACCCAATTAGATCGCAAGGATCATTTGCGTTCTTACAATTTTTGGAGGCCCTGGCCGTCCGGCATTGTTGATCTGTTTGCGGGCTTGAAGTGGATTCTTGGCAACTGGAATGTTTATGTCACAGGCGTTTTCTCCTGCCATTCTCGTGTCATGCTAGCGAGAAAACGCCAGCTCATGACAGAAAACGGACAAAATGCAAGATAGTTTTGACCAGAACTAATACAATGCCCTGTTCTTCACGCTTTTCACTGTGCACTTCATCGTGCACTCTTCAACTCTGAATTGTGAGGTGGAGTCTTGGAAGCCATGTCCTTCCTATTGGTATGATGCACTTCCATTAGAAACTTCTCACAAACGTCGTGACATTGGCATGATGGGCTCACAGCGAACTCAGCACATTTTCGATGACGTGTTCTGAAATGTTCTGAAGCCACCTGGAATCATACTCTTGCTCGATGACCGTGCTGTGAGGCCAATAATACTGTCGTGAAGCCGATGACAATGTTGTGCACCAAATGACGACGAGGATTTTTTGTTTCTTCTTCTTATTGTATTTTAAGGCTTACGCCTGACAGCCGGGCGCCGGCCCAACACAGGGCAGAAGTAGGACGGTAGAGGGGATAGAGGCAAAAAGCGTGGAAGGGGGCTGACTGCCCGGGTGTATGTAAGAGACACCGAAGGTCGGGAGAGCCGTCGCTCTCGCTCTCTCTCTCTCTCTCTCTTTTTCTCTTTGAGACTGTGTGGGGCCTATGCTGCCACATCTTGAGGCTATCTTGGCCCATCTAGGGGCTATGTTTCCCATATCTATTTGCGGCTAGGTGTGCCATATGTGGGACCTATGTTGGGTCATCTTGAGGGCCTCTGTCAGATCATCTTGGAGCACATTTTCCACCTTTGATGTTGGCGCGCGCCGGGCACCCGCAAAATGTCGATCATGCCTGTCCGCGCGGCGCGCATTACCGAGACCACCCTTGAAAAACACAGTGTTTTTGCATTTCTCCCTCTTGGCCGTGTCTCTGTTTGTGATGCACACAAAACCCTGTAAAACACAGTGTTTTTTATACCTCACACACACACACGTACGAAACACTAAAAATTACATGGTGGGAGGTGGGTCGGGGGTGAACCGGGGGTGGTCGGCGCTCGGGGGCGTCGCTCCATAACCTTCGGTTACAACCGAAGGCCCTCCGGGCCGGCGCCGGGATTTTAAGGCCTACGCCTGACAGCCGGGCGCCGGCCCAACAGAGGACAAAAGTCTGTCTGTCTGTCTGTCTTACAGGCTGGAGCTTTGGTCGGCTATCTGGGCCGCTCGTGGCTTTGAACATGGCTTCCCACAGTGGTGGCAAACCTATGGATTTGAGGCTGGCCCTTGTGCGCCAGCCTCCTTGCCCGCTCAACCTCCTGATCTGGTCGTTGCGGAGGCCATTTTTGCCGCTTTTCTTTGTCGGCGTGAGCAGTTTGAGAGCTGGCATCTGAACCAGCGAGCGTCGCTGCTTAGACAGAAACACGATCGGACCCTCAAGGCCCTTTATCAAGACCTCAAGAAACCTGCTCCTGAGCAACTTGACTTGATGGACTTTGGGAAGAACCTGTTTTTTGTGTGATCGGTTTTGATGCCACCGCCCATCAGATACAACTTGAGGAGACACCATCTTTGGCGGGCATACCCCAATGGTTTCTCGATGGCGAGCCGGTGGCCCTCTTGCGTGAAGAGGCTGATATCTGCACTTTGGCTCCTTGGCCTGGGACTTCAAAAATGCATGTTGAACACCTAAACAAGAGCTAGAGCTACTAGAGCTGACTGGAGTTAGAGCTGACTAAAGCTAGAGCTGACTGGAGTTAGAGCTAATTGCTAGAGCTAACTGGCGTTAGAGCTAACTAAAGCTAGAGCTGACTAGATAGAGCTACCTGAAGCTAGAGAGCTGACTGGAACTAGAGCAAACTAGAGTTAGAGAATACGGAAGTTTTGCCCCTAAACTTCCTTTGATTAGGGTAACAGAAGGAAATGGTACTCGACACACTTGTGTGTCGGTGCCTTTCCTTCTGTTGTCCCTGTTCTAGTCTACTCTACCCGGGCGGTCTAAGACCAAAGCCCAGCTCCCTAACTATTGCGCATAATTAAAGACCGCTAAGTGTTCAGTAGCTAGAGAGACTGATTGGATCCGATAGGTTTGCAGGTAGGCGTCCAAACTTGTAACGCGGGCCTTCAACCTGAATGCGATGGCCTCCAACCACTAGCAGTGGCCTCTAACCTTGGCAGTCTGGTGTGTCTTGCGCTTCTTGTGTTTCTTGTCACCGACCTACTAGCGATGCCCCCGCACCTGGTTTCGATGGCCTCTAACCTAAGAGCGAGGCTCTCCAACTTTGACTGTTTTTCAGTCTCGTTTCTGGTCACTAACCTACTAGCGATGGCCCCTCAACCTGCCTTGGACGGCCCCCAACCTAAGAGCGATGACCTCCAACTTACTTGTTTCGTTTTACTCAAGCCCTTTTCTCCCCCAGGTTTCCGTGTGGCATGTGGCAACCAGATCCGTACGCGTGTCAATAAGTGTGTCAACTTCTGTTTCCAAGATCTCGACCACACAAAGGAATTCAAGTCAACTTAAGGGGGTCGCCCAGTCAGCGGCCAACGAACACCCTGCGCGTTTCCTCTGAAGAACGTACCTGCATTGGTGCACCTGGGCACATTATCAGACCAGCTGGTGGCCAAATTCGATTTCCGAGTTTCAACTGTCGATCAGGTTGCTACCCCTTATCTTTTCCTTACTAAAGCGCTAGTGCGTCCTTGTTGAAACATTCAGTTGATTCGGACTCTGCCACCCTTCGGTTCTGCAAGTCAAGGTCTAGCTTCAGTAATGTCAAGGGCTAGCCTCACGTGGAAGTCATAACTGATACAGCTCTTGCGAGCAACGATCTAAGTGTGTTTCGCAGCATCGTCCTAGTGTGGTGTGCTGTGTGATCCCCGCCGAGGGGCGCGTTGAGCATAGACCCTTAAGGGGGAATTGTCAGAGATTGCTCGTCCGCTTGCTCGAGACTGCTGAACACATGCCACAGGGTGTCACGCAGCTAAGTACTCATAGGACCATGATGCGGTTTGCCATGTCATGCTTTATTTTTCTGTTTCGTTTTGGTTTTCTAGGTTTCCTGTCGTTGCTAGAGGCTTTTTAGGTTCCAGGTTAACTTTTAGTCAAGTGCTAAGTATTCACCTCTACGTTTCACGCTGAGTAATTCATGCACAGTCTTCCTTTTTCTCCTTCTAGTTTTTCACCAAACAGTGTGGACACACTTAGGGGTTCTTACGGTAGTAGAAAAGCAGCTGTGCTTAGATCGCTGTTCCGCGCGGGCGTGTCCGGCTAGTTCGCTGCTATTTACATTACATTCGTGCCAATTCATGCCTCTTGACATCGTCAATGTCCATTTCGACTGCGCAGGCTCGCTGAATCTGGGGACCGGCGGCGGGCGCTTCTAACGCTTGCCCTCTCGTTGCGGCGCCGTGCGCATTTTCGCACATGGTGGTGACTTTTCGTGACAGGCGCAAGGGAAACCTCGTGTTTTGGTGCTTCAAAGCTACTGCATTTGAACATTTCAGCCTTGTGCTTTTACTTTCTCCTCCTTGCTGCTCGCGGGCGCTTCACCTCCTCTCTGCTACCACTTCCACCTGCTCTATTCGGCTTCGAGCCTCACCTTCTACTTCTTATTCCTGCGTGCTCGCGGGTACTACTCTCTCTCTCTACTTCCCTGCACTTGTGCTGTCTCCTCCTCGGTGCTCACGGGTGCTTCACCTTCTCCTGCTACCACTTCCTCCTACTCTATCGGGGTTCTACTTCTAGTCCCTCCTACTGAGTGCTCGCGGGTGGTGTTACATCGCAATATTTAGCTAGCCATTTTGCGTCGCTGCTTCCTGCTCGTGGATGCTACTCTCTCTACTTCCGCTTCCCCTGCGCGCATCCCTTCACCCGAAAGTACGTATGATATACGCCCCACACTGTTTGGGATCTCTTGCCGGGATAATTTTTGTTTCTCTCTTCAAGTTTTCGTTCGTTGCTAGAGGCTTTTTAGGTGTCAGGTTAATGTTTAGTCAAGGGAGCGCCGATTTCGGCTTTCTGGCCAGCGCCATTGGGCCCGTGCCTTTTACCCCACCCCACAGGCGCCCCGCGCCTTTCTCTCCTTGCCTTTGTTCCTTTGTTTTGTTTCTTCTCTCAGGCTTGTTAGGTTGCGTTTAGGCTCGTTTAGTCGATGCACTTTTCCCCCCCGCCCCCTAATGACACAAGTGAGAACTCAGGGAGCGCCGCGTCGGCAATTGTGCGTGTCAACTTCTGTTTCCAAGGATCTCGACCACGCAAAGGAGTTCAAGTCAACTCAATTCATTCGCAGGGGGTCGCTGGGGAATCGTGCAGTCCGCGACCAACGAAGACGCTACACGTTTCCTGTAAAGAAAAGGTACCTGCATTGGCGCACGTGGGCACATTATCAGACGCAGCTGGTGGCCAGAATCGATTTCAGAGTTTCAACTGTTGATCAGGTTGTTACCCTCATCTTCTCCTTACTAATATGCTAGTGCGTCCTTGTTGAAACATTCGGACTCTGCCACCCTTCGCTTCTGCAAGTCAAGGTCTAGCTTCAGGAATGTCAAGGGCTAGCCTCACGTGGAAATCATAACTGATACAGCAAGTGTGTGTGTAGCCCTTGGACTCAGAGGGGACCTTGCAATCGTTTTCTTTTGGTTTTCTTTTATTCGATTTTCAGCAGGGGGCACCGGGGTACTGATGAGAGCGGTGCTAACAAAGACGCTCATCAGTCACCTGTGATAGAATTTTTAAACGTCCAACTGCGTACCTGCAGAGTTCTGACTTTCGTTTCGTACTTGGCCCCGTTCTTAACCAGAACAGTTTTCCGGCCTTCGCAGCAGTTCCGTCACTGCAGTCACAAATCTTTTGACTTCAAGGTTTTGGAGGTTTGGAGGCTTTCATGCTCAGACCGCTTTACATACTTACTTTGGCTCCTTAGATTTTTTACTTAGGCCCAAGCTGGCGTGTGGAAAACCGCATTCAATTCCGTATCCCGAGTGTGTCTCATAGTCTTGTAGCGCAACTACAAGGGCGCGTCTGTCATGTCAACCAAAACTGTCCGCAATATGACAATACAACTGCAAACTGATAAGACCAAAGGGCCAATGCACCTGTCCATTGTTCATCATTGTTTCGTTTGATCATTTTATTTGAAGGCGTCCCCAGGATTCAAAGCAAATATTTGACTAACATCGTACAAACATAGCGGACATAGCGTTGTGCGTGCCACTTTTTCCTCTCCTGGGCTACCCAACCCACGCTGATGCCCCGCACGGCTTGGAAGGTGACTGTGCATGCTGAATCACTCGCCACGAATACGAAAGAACCAAACATCTGGCCGGACCAACAAGAAACTCACACCAAATGACAGTCACCTGTTGCTTGCAAAGATAGGGGAGAACCCCCCACAACGAAGTGTCAAAGGAATCTTGACTGACATCCTTCAGAAGTACAGGCGCTGCAAAAACCATTTGACTTTGTAAGATTTGTCTCGTTCCTCTCTCCCCTCCCTGCCTGGTTGCCTACACGCACGGAAACGCACGAAGCCTTGGACTGGCGACTGAAAAAACAACAGTGTGATAGGGCCACCCCCAAGCCGGCAAAAGACTGCGGATGCATGGATATCGTCATGCTTGTCTTGTCAGGAGGTGCGTGACATCCGGGAAGCAACGTGTCCAAAAATGATGTGAGCTTTAAGGCTTGCGCATTTTTGCAGCTTGTCAAGGATGAGGCCATCAGCCTGTGCATCGAACTTTGACCCTTCTCTAAAGTTGTGCTTTTTGCTAAAGGTTTCTCGGTGTGGAATCCATGACAGTTTCAGCACATTTGCGCATTGGATTTGCGAACAACGTGCTGGGATCTCAAAGGCACCTGGTCACTTGGCAATCCAGTTTCAACTCGTTTCTGCTCCTTCACCACAGCCTGTTCATTCAAGAGCAATCGGAGCAGTAGTAGCGCAAAATAACATTAGCGTCTACAATTCCAACCGTTGCACAAAGTCAGTGAAGTCGGCTGAAAACCTTTCAGTATCCACTTTGCCTCGTCTATCACCTCATCCTCATTGTTTGTTGCCAGAGCTCCAGCCAAAGCTCTGGAGACAAACCTACCCGTTCAAAGCGAGTTTTGATAGCGAGCGCATCAGCAAATCTCAATTGCTGCAAATGTAAAAAGATGTAAAAAGATTAAGCGTGTGACCTCGGTACTTTGCAGAAGCTTGCGCTTTAAAGTCTTATTGAACTGTTTGCCAGGAGAATTAGTATATACACAGGTCAAACACTTGTGACTTGTACAGGTTTGTATAGTAAATTTCAACAAATGGCAGTTGTGACACCGCCAAAAAGCGTCCGCTGACACAAGCTCGACTCAAGGGCCCTTTTGCCCACGTGTGGTTTGGGTCGAAAGGGTCCACGGTAGTGGTGAACTCAGGTCGAGTACGGTGTGTCAACTGGTTTCTCACACCCGTCACACCCCTGTAACTCTTCTTGACTGAGCTCGTTTCCCACCTGACAGCCTGCGCGAATTGGTTTCACCAAAACACAGAACTTGCAAAACTGTACCAGCTCTCGCACCGAATCCCAGCGCATCGCCTTTGTGAGCTCATCGGAGATCATGTCCTTGGCGCAGACCCACCACAGCTGGTCGGTCGCTTCCAGCGGCATGTGAGGGCTTGAACGCACGTGCCCACTTCCTCGCCAGACTGGCGCCGCAGCTCTTGCTTCAATGCCGACATGTCTATTGCTAAACGCTTGTCGCTGACAATGCCTGGGCTCGTGGCACTCATGTAGTCTATGAAGCTTCGGCAATCTGATACCCAACGTTAACAGACCCTTGCGGTCAGCCGCTGCCACCTTCCAAGCCGAGTACCTTGTGCCCAAGACCTTGGGCTGTCTGAGCCGTGCATTGACGATAGCGCTTCGACCTGTAGTGTCGACCTGCAGACTCGTCTGAGATCCCCAGTCCAGCGTGTCTCATGGTCCAGTTGCGGCATATGGTCGGCCAGCAGGAGAAATCTTCCTCTGGTGACTTGTGACCCTGCTTGTTCCCGTTCTCATCCACGAGCAGCTCCGCCGCGTGTGGCGCGTCCGTGACGGACAAAAGAATGGCCTCATCGAAGTTGAACTTGCCCTTCACGAACCGGATGCCAGATTTGCTCGTCCTCTGAGCTGCGCTCAGCAACTTATTGGTGGCCTTGAGGTCCATGACCGCTGGACTGCTCTGCTTTCCTTGTAGTGCAGAACACATGTAGCTCAGCTCCTGCAATGGATCCTAAAACAGCCCTCATCTGAGATTGTTCTTGACTGCTTGCGTGATCTGAGGGTCGTCTCATCCGCGCGCGGTCCACATGCACCGGCTTGGTCTTTCCAAGTGTCTCAGGGCTTGACACTGTGATGTGCTCCTCGGTGCTCTCGATCTTGCGCCCGCAGAAACGGAAGTTTCCAGCATCTGTAGATCCAAAAGTGAACCGTTGTTGAACTCGGCTCATCAACTTGTCCATCTTGTGGTCGCCGGCCCAAATGAGGTCGTCCACATGGCTGCATACCATGCCGCATGTCTTATCTCCATCGCTCAGACAATAAACTGCCGGATCGATCTCTGTGAGTCCTTGTTCCAATAGCTACTGCCATAAACCGACATCAGTGCGATGAGGTATGTCATATAGGAGGGATGTCATCACCTTCCTCCGTCGGGATGCCATCCTTTGGCGCCGTCAGAATCAAAGTCCTCCGTATTGGAGCTCTTGAAGAAAGGCTGGGCTGATGTCTCCTGACTTCAGCTCCAGGTTGTTTGCGGCCGCATATAGGACAGCAAGATGCGTACGCATACCCCACTGGCAGTAGCGCAATCCGCCCGGAACGTTTCCTCTTCCAGAGCTCCTCGGATTACTAGCCGACCGGTCCTCCACCAACCCTCAACTTCTCGTTCTTGTCGATGTCAACCCATCTCATTGGGGTGGCCTTGTAGCCGGTCTTGAGAAGTTTCTCCACCTCGTTCTTGTCCGGAAAACGGGTGGCTCGGTACTTCAACCAGTTGCTCCATTCCTTGGAGCGGCTCTGATCCAGATTCTTTCTCATCTCGGAGTCTGTCTGCCTTGTTATAGGAAATCTAATGGTCTAATGGCTGTCCGCCTTGCCCTTCCTCCTGAGACAAAGCGCAGTGGATCCTCTCCCTGGTCTCGTCCAAAGGGCTCCTTGACCTCGTTCTTCCCAGAGTAAGCTCTGCTGCCGATGGCTCATGCTTCATTCCCCTGACCGCGCTGCCCCAACGTCCAGTCGATTTCCTCCTTCAATGGCCATCGCTTTAGGGGTGCGTGCTGGTTCACTAGGAGTAGTCGCCTGGCCTGCCGGTGGCTGAGATGACTCGCTGCGCCATCAGAAGTCGGACCTGGTTGAACTTGTTCTTCATCAGGTAGTCCGAGTTCTGGCCGCTGTTGACCAAGTCTTCCTGCCACTGGTGAGCCGGGTCAAGTTACCGGACGCCAGATTTGCTCGTCTTCTGAGCTGCGCTCAGCAACTTATTGGTGGCCTTGAGGTCCATGACCGCTGGGCTGCTCTGCTTTCCTTGTAGTGCAGAACACATGTAGCTCAGCTCCTGCAATGGATCCTAAAACAGCCCTCATCTGAGATTGTTCTTGACTGCTTGCGTGATCTGAGGGTTGTCTCATCCGCTCGCGGTCCACATGCACCGGCTTGGTCTTTCCAAGTGTCTCAGGGCTTGACACTGTGATGCGCTCCTCGGTGCTCTCGATCTTGCGCCCGCAGAAACGGAAGTTTCCAGCATCTGTAAATCCAAAAGTGAACCGTTGTTGAACTCGGCTCATCAACTTATCCATCTTGTGGTCGCCGGCCCAAATGAGGTCGTCCACATGGCTGCATACCACGCCGCATGTCTTATCTCCATCGCTCAGACAATAAACTGCCGGATCGATCTCTGTGAGTCCTTGTTCCAATAGCTACTGCCATAAACCGACATCAGTGCGATGAGGTATGTCATATAGGAGGGATGTCGTCACCTTCCTCCGTCGGGATGCCATCCTTTGGCGCCGTCAGAATCAAAGTCCTCTGTATTGGAGCTCTTGAAGAAAGGCTGCGCTGATGTCTCCTGACTTCAGCTCCAGGTTGTTTGCGGCCGCATAGGACAGCAAGATGCGTACGCATACCCCACTGGCAGTAGGACAATCCGCCCGGAACGTTTCCTCTTCCAGAGCTTCTCGGATTACTAGCCGACCGGTCCTCCACCAACCCTCAACTTCTCGTTCTTGTCGATGTCAACCCATCTCATTGGGGTGGCCTTGTAGCCGGTCTTGAGAAGTTTCTCCACCTCGTTCTTGTCCGGAAAACGGGTGGCTCGGTACTTCAACCAGTTGCTCCATTCCTTGGAGCGGCTCTGATCCAGATTCTTTCTCATCTCGGAGTCTGCCTTGTTATAGGAAATCTAATGGCTGTCCCTGGTCTCGTCCAAAGGGCTCCTTGACCTCGTTCTTCCCAGAGTAAGCTCTGCTGCCGATGGCTCATACTTCATTCCCCTGACCGCGCTGCCCCGACGCCCAGTCGATTTCCTCCTTCAATGGCCATCGCTTTAGGGGTGCGTGCTGGTTCACTAGGAGTAGTGGCCTGGCCTGCCGGTGGCTGAGATGACTCGCTGCGCCATCAGAAGTCGGACCTGGTTGAACTTGTTCTTCATCAGGTAGTCCGAGTTCTGGCCGCTGTTGACCAAGTCTTCCTGCCACTGGTGAGCCGGGCCAAGTTCTTCTTGTCGCGCTCGTTTGTTGGCCTCATCTTCATGATTCTGGCCCCTGTCCTGAAGCTCCAGCTCCTCCTCCAGGTCTCATGTCCAGATAAGGGACTTGGTGTCCTCGGTCACGAAGTCTGTGGCCGTTGCACTGATCTCTATCCATGAAAGGCCTCTTCCTGCTCAATCGGCTCTTGTTGAGCAGCTCGTTTTCCAGGTGTTCTTCAGCGTTGGCTCCTCTCATACGGTTGTTGGACACCAGGATGAGGATTCCGGAGCGCAAGAGCCACAGATTCTTCCCTTCTGTGGCGATGACTCTCGCCGGACCAATCCACCTCCTCATGAAGGAAACCAAGTCACCTTAAGGTCTCTTGTTCTGTTCCTCCCTTCCTGAGGATCGTGTCCTCCGTGGCCCATGCCGACCGAGCGCCTCGCGCATAGCGCATCTCCTCTTGAACATGGATGTAGGATCCGGGTCGTCCACCAGGTTGAAGTCATCTTCACCTTCATCATCTTGCCATCCTCTCCAGGCATTCCGCCAAAGCCATCTGCATCTCCAACTCTCCGATCATGCTCGTAGCGTTGATCACCCTTTGGAGCATTCCTTTCAGAACACCACCTCCTCGTTCGACCTTGCCCAGTTGATGTGGCGCCTCCAATGCGACCAGCTTGAACTTGCATCCTCTCTTCTCCAACTCGTTCATGAAGATGCCATGGTTGTTGGTCCCGTACTGAGGTTGGCCAGCCCATGCCATCCACATCCTCCCAAAGGCTTCCAAGGCGCATCACGTGCAGGATCTGGTATGGATCTCCCATGTTGTGCTTGACAGTGACAATGTCCAATCCAACGCTCTCGTTGAAGGTGTATGGATCTGGCACCTTCACCACCTGAGTAGCATCCTTGTCATCTGTGGTCTCGTAGCATGGCTGCACCTGTGGCGTAGACGGCAGATTCCCACTCTCTCCGCCTGTGTGAATTTCCTCCATTCCTGTTTGCTTAGCTTCTCTCCTTCCGGATCGGCATTCTTGTCAAGTAGGTTGAGTTGCTCCTCATTGCGCAACATTTCCAGTTCATTCTGTCCTGGCAAGCTCTTGGCCAGGTCTTCTGGTCCTCCAACTGCATCCAGCATGATCGGAGTGTCCTGGTCCTCATATTGTTCGACTGAACACATAGCTGATCTGCGATTCCAAACCCCGTTGGACTCCCTGTAAGACTCGTTTGCAAAATTGGATGGTGTATCGTCCAGCTTGAGTGCACCTGGAACCAAAGGAGTTCTGACCTTCCTCAGGTTGGTGCTCATGGTTCTTCCTGCGCGCGCACCCCGTCATCACCGAAGCGATTTTCTTGGAGTCTGTGGAGATACATGTGCCCTTCTTGTGTGGTAGTCCAGAATCCCGATCACGAAGTCCAAGGAAGCACATGTCCCCCTTGCAGCTTTGGAGTCCCACCCTGAGAATCTGCAGGATCTCTTCAGTGTCCCGTGCCTCAGATGTCCATCAGTTTTCCATCATAGTGACTCCTCCTTTTTCACGCTGTCGCTTGACCAGCTTCTGCACTTGAAGACTGGAATCCAAATCCTCCTCTCATCGACCGTCCCCCGGTCCGCTTGCGTCCGCTGCCAGGGTGACCATGGTCCGCACGGAAATGCGATGGAGGGCAAATATGGGTTTTCTTCCTCCAAGGTGCGCTCCACCATGCGCCTATCCTCCTCACGGAAGACGCCCCATGCGGTCTTGATTTCCAGCGGCTTGCAGCAGTCATATCCCTGTGATTGAGACACCGAAGTGAGTACGGCACAGCCGGCAAAAATCTCGAGCAATCAACGCCTTCCATCCCTTGAAAACGATGCCCGCTGGCTCCTCAACGTCGACCGCATAGCTAGGTCTTCGTTCTCCATCTCATCTACCTTCTGGGCCAGCTTCCTTCGCTGTCCCTTGGTAAGGATCTTCCTGTCTCCGTCTTTCCATTCCACCTTCTTGACCTTCAGCTCTTCATCAATTGGCTTGATCTTGCTTCCGATCCACCTGCAGACCGGGTCTTCCGGGGTCCCTTCCTCCGTCAGCCAGTTGTCCGTGATCACAATGTCTGCAAGAGGTCCGCCAAACTGCATAATCGTCAGTCGTTCGTCGCTAAGCCGCTAAGCCGCTGAAGATCCACACGTAGCTCCATGAGGGCCTGCTCAGGGTAGAAGAACTCGAAGCGTGGCTGAACGTGATGACGGATGAGGTATCCTTCATCCCTGATCTCCCAATAGTCCTCCCTGACTTCTTCATCTGCTCCTTCACATTCGCCATCTGGATCAAAGCCGGCTTCTTCTTCCGTCTCATTCGTCTCTCATGTTAAGTTGTCTTCCATATCGCCTTGTAGTTCCTCCAGTTGCCTGTTGAGCTCCTCCTCATAGGCTGCTCTCTCAGCATCTTCAACATCTTCTCCTTCCCAATGGTCCTCGTTCTCAGCGAGTACCTGATTGGCCGTTGGCGATGTCTCTCCATGCCAATCTGTCCAGGAATCATCATCCTCCGGTTCTTCTTCCGGCGCAGGTATTGAACTCCAGCTTGCTTCCTCAGCTCGCGGTGCTCGACGTGTCTGATGGGTCCCTCTTGGGGACCTTTCTCGCCTGGTAAGTGTACTTGGTCCGCTTTTGGCGACGCCGGTCGAGGTACCTAGAACTCTCGCTCCCTTCGTGGTGATGGACTCTCCCTCGGCGCCATCAAAGCGACCGGAGTGGCCTTGTCACCCAAGAAATCTCGCGGGTGCAACGTCATCCCTATGAGCTTGTTCTTCTTGCCTCGAATGGCTGAGGGTCTTGGAATAGACAGTTCCTGCCATCATATCGATCACCTGTCCCAGACCTTGTTGTGCCTGAAGCGATAATAGCATTGGCGCCTCTGATCCTGAGATCTCCATCGACACCAGCTCTCCAGGTACCTTGTACCCTTCCTCAGTCTCAAGGAACTTCCGAGCGCGCTGGCTCCTCCAATGCCCGTCAACACCTTGTTGACATGGGATTCCCACATGGGATCATATCCGCTCTTCTCCGTGTACTTCTTCAACCACTTCGATCCATGACAAGTGGTATTGTATCCAGAGTCAAGGTACACAGTGAGTCCTTCATCTTCCCATGTTCCTGCCTCGAAATCTCCTCCAGCCGGTTCGTCGTCGCGTGATGCAGTAGTCCTGGAACCTCCTCGTTGGCACAGTACGCTGGGCCGCTGGGATCGTTGTCTGGCCTCCGTCACCGCCGGTCCCAACGTGTCAAAACACAAGGTAGAAGCACTCACCACATGATGGAATTCCCTCTGGCTCATGGTTCCATGAACGCCCAAATGATCGTATGAATCAGGCTTGACAGCCTATCCCAGTCCTCGTGGTTTCCCAGCAGCTCTTCGTCCATCATGGTAACCGCACCATCTCGTAAGGCATAACCTTGCGGCACCGGTTTCGGCGCTGCTGCCAGGGTTTGTGGTGGTTGGTTGTCCTGGGGTCGGTTTTGCCAAGCCCGCATTATTCTTGACGGTCTCCGTCTGGCCGCAAAGGTCACAGAACGCCATGGCTACTCGCTTGTGAAAGCGAGAAGGGGGCATTAGCCGGAAAGCGGGAAAGCGTGAGCCTTCTGGCTCCACTGCCAGTTTCAACAAATGACAGTTGCGACACCGCCAAAGCGTCCGCTGACACAAGCATTGGCCAGCTCGACTCAAGGGCCCTTTTGCCCACGTGTGGTTTTGGTCGAAAGGGTCCACGATAGTGGTGAACTCATGTCGAGAACGGTGTGTCAACTGGTTTCTCACAGTAAAGTAAAAGTTACTTGCGAGGAATTGAAAATTGTGTTTTTGCAGTTATATAATATTATATTGTATAACCTCCCGAGCACTCCCCAACTTTGATGACAATGTCGTGAAACATGCGAACACTATGCTGTGAACATTTGTGGAATGATCTCGGTTCCGATGTTCATGAATGTTTATCCAGATGTTGGCATGTTTGGAAGTAGGCACAGGGCCGTTTGCACCACTGCATCGCGCCACAGCACAGCATTCTATGTACTGAGTTCATGCTGCCCACTGACTCTCGGATCACCCTTAGATGTCAGTTAACTGCACCAAACAAATCAAAACTGAATGTCTCTGGCGGCGCGCTCGCTCTAAGTCTAGACTCCAGGTTTCTTGTCGAAGGAGCCAACAACTTGTCATCACCACCGTGTTCCCCGGTCCATCAGTGACGCATAGGGAGCTGGTATCGATTGATATGTAGTGAAGTTCATATATTTATATAAATATATACATCAACTTTCAAAAAACATAACTAAACAAAGGGCTTTCATCTGTCAAAGCTGGCGGGTAAGCGCTGTAGAGGCGTCCGGCATCAGACTATATCATGAATCACGAATCAGGCCGAGGTCTGAATTTAGACATCCATAGGTGGTGTTGAGGCCAGTTCCGGAGTAGAATGTAGACATGTTCTGGTGGTGTTGGGACATTTTGGTAGCAGCGCTCCATGACAAGTTCTGGTGTGTATCATCACCAACGCCACCAATCCCACTGTCAGAATCCCTGCGTCATCGAGTCTTGCGAGAACCTCACCTTTTAACCTTCGGAGCCTTGGCCATACTCCGTACAGGAAGGATGCACAATATTGGAGGACATAATGAAACATAGAGAGATATAGTACGTATTATTGATTGGTGAAACTCAACACTTATGCAATTCATCCTGCGAAGCTCTGATCATCTCAGTAGATTAGATTCACTAGTCAGGGCCTTCTTTTCACACCTCGCAAAAGGCAATCCCATTCCATAATCATTCGCCTAAGCTGGAAAAGGTGATGCATCAGGACGTGGAATCGAAGAACTTCGACTTTGGAACTGCCAACAGAATCACAACAGACTTTGTTGCTTCACAGTATGGCCTATCAAGCCACCGAGCATTGTTTTTTAGCTTTTCATGAAGTCGATATGTTTAAGCAGTCAAAGGCGACACATTTTTGCAACTACAAAGTTATACAAGGATAGACCCCAAACAGTTTCAAAACGATTCGTTAGGACCAATAATATTTCATTCAAAAACGATTTCTTGGCATATCGTACCTTTTCCCCCAAGAGCAAGCATCGACATCGCAAATAGTTCAGCCACAAGAGAAAACAAGAGAAGAGCAGGACAAGACCCGGTCACAGAGCTCGGCCACAGAGTTCAGGGCCGCGGCCAATCAGTGTGTCCAGGGCTGGTCAGTGTGGCCAGAGGACAAGAGAAGGACAAAAGGAGGACAAAACGAGGACAAGACCCGGCCACAGAGCGCGGCCACAAAGCCCGGCCAAAAGAGTTCAGGGGCGCGACCAGTCAGTGTGCCAGCTCTTGTTTTCTAAGATAGAGCCCCAACAGTAAACTGTTTAGGGAACAGTAAGTCAGGGGCGCGGCCAAGAGAAGGACAAGAGGAG